ATCATAACCAACGTGCTCATTCACCGGGGGCATATGATCTGGTGTTGTAAATACATGCCCACCACCACTCTACTCTTCCACCTGAGGACAAATACTCGTATTTGACATCATAGATGTCATCTGATAAAAATCATATGTTGCTCCAAACATGGGAGAGAACATGGGTGATTGATGAGGAATAACCTGAGGAGTATAGGCTGTAACACCAGAATCACCAAACACTTGATGAAATGATCCTGTACCGCCAAAATATTCTGATGGGATAGTATCCATTGTCGCTTGTTCTGCTCCATGGTGAAATGAACTCCCACTCCGTCTTGGTTTCTCGGCTTTACCAATTTTTTTTTCTTATACTGTATAAATTGTTGTCTTTCTATGTTCGTTGTCAAGAACGGCTTTCCATGTTCCCAATAATAATTCAGGTAATATGAATTCTGGAAGTCAAAGTTATCCGCTTGAATGGGAGTGAGAGTTGGCAAGTATGAAGCCTTGTTGTTCCAATGATTAATATAGTTGGCATGCCTCACAGCCTAATCCTCACTGTGCCTACCCCTTCCATCTAATCTGTGGAGAGCGTCATAATTCTCTGGAATTTGCGGAATAGGTTGGTGGAAGTCGAACTGCCTCAAAACTCTATCGAAAAATTGGAACTCAACAAAAGAGAAATAGATCAATGGTGTAACAGCACACCAATATTGACAACCCTCCCACATGTTGTAACACACGACATAATTTCTCCATGATCATACGACCTCCAAATAAACTACAAAACAAAATTATATAATTATTAAATAATTAAATAATTATAAAATTCAACTAAATAAATAAACAATATTAAAAACTAAATAAAAATAAAATTCACTAATTAATTATATATATACCTCAACTTTACATTTGATGCCCATCTTAAATCTAAACTCTTTCACATTATCGTGTCCCAACCCCGTTCCTCCATTTTATGCCTCCATCTGTATATCAATCAAAATAAAATTCGCTAAATATTTTTCCTATACAAAATATTTGTTAATTAATTTAAGATAAAATATTTTAAATCAAAATATTACCTTCCGACAATAGGAAAGTCAATTGTAGTTCGACTAATCGATGTTAACCATGGAAGTCTGTGCCAGACCCACGATTATAATAACATCAGACATCCACTGATTTCCATCGTACACACATCATTTACAAGTAATGAAGCCTTGCACATATCGCGATACAAGAACGTCAATATTGTCGATCCCCAACTATACTGACGGGTATTCAAAAAGTTACCCAAAAATGGAAGATATTGTATATGAAAAAGATTACCGGTCCGACATCAAGACTCCCCCGATCAACCGTAATATATATGCTCGAGTGCATATATAATGTCTTGCTCAGTACTATTACGACCGAGCTTAAACTCATTCGCCAACCATGATAATCTCAAACGTGACCCTTTTGTAAATGTTTTTTCTGGCACATTCTCAAGGTACACCCCGCACATTTCAAACAAGTCCTAATTATTTTTCCCACCACTGCCATTCCATTTGTAGGGACCCGAGTTGTAAAGCCACGTCCTCTAAAGTGATCGTACATTCACCACACGAAAGATGAAATGTATGAGTTTATGGTCTCCACCGTTCAATTAATGCACTGATCAAACCAGTGACCAACCTATATTCTCTTACAAATGATACATCGTAAAGCCCACCATTTGCAAATTCTGGACAATAAGTTCATCTGGCTTCTCACAAGTGTTCACTCGACTACGAATGACTCGTTGTTCGTCATCCTACAATTTGTTAATCCATGTAATTAGAATTAATTCATCGTTCTCAAATAAAATATATTATTCGATCATAATATTAGTGCTCCCAAATGACTAGAAATGTGTCGATAATCTAGTCTCAAAAGAACATTTTGTTCTGCTATGCTTCAACAAATCTATAAAAAAATTAAAATTTTCAAATTATAATATTAATCATAATTAAAGAAACTTTAAACAACAAAATCTATTAAATCAAAATAATAGTCTAATTAATTTATTTTCAATAAAAACAAAACAAAAAAATTTTAAACTAAACTTATCAAACCACTCAAATACAATTTAATATGTAAAATCAAAATAAATATTTCAATAATTTATATTACTCGATAAAAAATAAAAAAATAATTTAAACTAAACTAAACTTACCAAACTACTCAAATACAACTTAATATGTAAAATAAAAATAAATAGTCTAATAATTATAATTTAAAATTAAAACAAAAATTATACTAAAAATTACACGAAAATTTAAATTTAACTTACCAAACCACTTGAATACAGTTTAATCTATAAAATCAAAATAAATAGACTAATTAATTTATTTTTATAATAAAAACACAAAATAAAACAATAAATTTTAAACTAAACTTACCAAGGTACTCAAATATGATTTAATTTGTAAAATAAAAATAATTAGTCTAATAATTTATATTACTCAATAAAAAGATAATGTAATAATTTAAACTACACTTACCAAGTTTTATTCATATACAACTTAATATGTAAAATTAAAATAAATAGTCTAATAATTATAATTTAAATTAAAAACAAAAATTACACTAAAAATTACACGAAAATTAAAATTAAAATTATCAAGTCACTCGAATACAATTTAATATGTAAAATCAAAATAAATAATCTAATTAATTTATATTTCAAAGAAAAATTAAAAAGGAAACAATAAAAGTTACACTAAATTTATCAAATCGCTTGCCAGAGCACTCGAGTTCTTTCTTCCTTCGATCGAACTCTCAAGCTTACCAAGATGCCCAAATGCTCTCTTTTCTCGGACTCACTCAAATTCTCCAAATTTTCTCCCTCACCTTTCACCCAAATTTTAACTCCCCATTGTTTTATCACTTACTGGTGCTCCATTATTGGTGTAATAATGACACCATTATTATTACACCCGCTCCCCCGTGTAAAGTCTGCATGTCGTTGATTCCCACGCAAGTCATGCATCAGCTGGTTCAAAAGACGCCGCATATTCCCGAAGTCTTTTGCATGGATTAAAGACGTCGAGTGTTTCCGAAGTCTTCATTTTTGCCTGAAAACGCTAGGTAGTCTCAGAGGCTTCATTTTTTCTTAAAGACGCCGAGATTTTTTTAGAGACTTTTTCTTTGTACTGTAAAATCATCCTAGATGAGAAATTAATCCAGAGACCGCATTATTATGAGAATTAAATATTTCCAACCATGTAAGAGGAGCCATTTTGCATGATTAAGGTGAAAAGAGTACGTAAAAAATAAATAATAAAAGAGTACGACCATTTTTTTGGCGTTTGCCATTTTGGCTTTTCAGATACAAACAAATTATTTATTTTAATTTTTACAAAAATAATTTTTTTATTTCTAATTTTTTATATAGAATTAAGAACTTGATTATATATCCACTTATGAATTATATTAACACCATGATACCAATCATTGTGTGAAGGAATAAATATATAGGACAGAAATTATGTACATGTTTATGTTATGGGGGTGATTATCCTCTTTCTAAAGATAATATATCAGAAGATACGTAATGTTATTGTTTATAAAGTCTATAATTTTCTTTTTTAATATACAATTATTGCCATCTATCTCTTCAAACTGTGATATTTTTCTATTTAATATTGTGATGTTCTCGTCACGAGTGCTCATCCTATCTACCACATATAATGGAATACTCGATGTGAAAATAAATAGTCAAAATATCATTTTTGATATAGCTTATTACGGATTAATTACTATTTCTCAAAAGACATGTATAATACCATATAAAATGTTTCCGTTATAAACTTATTGACCTCTTTTCTTATTTTTAATGTGAAATTAATGTTTTTCACTTGACTTCAATGGCGAAACCACAGCTTGGTAGTAAGGGTGGGCACGTGCTCACCCTGAAATATAAATTTTTTTCGATTAATTACATATTTTACTAGTGATGTCCACCCTGAAATTTTTCATGCTCATCTTGAAATCTGATTTTTTTTATTAGTTACTTATTTTACAAACGGTATCTTTCCTAAATTTATTTGTACTCGTCTCATTTAAATATTTTATGTTGTTAAACATATGTGTGTTTACCCTTAAAAATATTTCTAGATCCGTCACTGTTTGACTTAATATAAAATAGTTCTTAAACTACACCTACTCTTTTATTTAAATGTCTAAATTTATTTTCGGTCAATACATATATCTAACGTTATATTTTAAATGTCTATGTTATAACATCCATTAAAAAATCATTAATTGATACATATGTTTATATATATTTTTTTAAATTGTTTTTTTCTAAAATCTTAAGAAAAACTTAAATCTTTAATTTCAAATCCCTCTTATCGTCGCGAGCCACCGGTCGTTGAGTAGTATCCATCAGTCGCCGTTTACTCATTAACAGACGTCGACTTCAAATCTCTAAATTTCTAATTTTTAAACCCGAAATATTTGTCCCTTACTTTGCTTCACGTTGGCGTGTCATTCATTACCCTGCCTTCTCTCATTTGCAGATCAAAATTCACCCATTACCTCGTTCACTATCCTTGCAGATCAAAAGGCTTTTTTTTATTTGATTTGTTTGTTTTCAGCCGCATCAGAGGAGATACAATTCCTGGGCGTTCAAGCATGGATGACGTAGGGAAACTAGAGTATTTAATGGTTTGAAAAATGATTTTAAAAAATAAAAATAAAAAATATATACATGTAAGTTAAAATTTTTTAACGGTCATAATAAGATAAATATTTAAAATATAACTTCAGAAACATTAGACATTTATATTAATCGAAAATTTTTAGAAAAGTTTATAATTTGGGATATTTTATGTTGAGCATTTTCTCTTTTAAGACGTGACACTTGTATGATTGATGGTCATAACCCATGGGCACACTCTACAATTCCTAATCGATAAAAAAGAAGAGGTTGGTTCATAAAATTTTAAAGGTCAAAACATTTAATATTACTAAACGGAAGTGTAACAATAATAAATGACAAGGAAACTAAAGTTTAGTCCTTACTATAAATCCTAAAGCATACGAAATTGACTGTAGACCGAAAATTTAGCAGCAAAGGCCATAATTGGAGGTAGGGTTCAGGGTTGTCCACATATGCAGTTGAGCATAACTGGAACTCCATGACTGTTACCATCATCAGTGTCTGCAACATGGAGTGAAGTGGTTCTAGGAGGAGCGATGCAGCCGTTGATGAATAGTGGGTTTGATTCTATACTGGGTTGAGCCTGCAGGGCGAGCTCGTCGGGTCCATCGACGATGGAACCCCTTCTATATCCGCCGGCTGCTCTTCTTTCCACCGCAAGGAAATGGCCAAGCGATGGAACATTGTTTGCATTCTGGGTATCATCCCTTGAACATAAAGAAAACAGCCACACTTTTGATCTGTTGTTTTTGCTTCGTTTTTCTCTTGTTGCTTCTGCTTTTCTTCCTCTTATGGATCTTCTTGAGAGTTCCAAGATGCTTGAAACGCCGATTAGGCTCCCCAGTGTGATGCTCTTTTCAAGGAAAAATGACCCAGTTGACTGAAAACCAATCAAGCAAGAGATATTGGTACAAATCCACCAGCATAAATCACTGGAAGCAAAGGTAAATTTATGCATAGGATTCTTAATTTCTCAGAAATATTAGTTCTATATTGTTATCCTGAGAAGATGATCACATTTCAAGGGCTGTTAGCCTATAGAAGCAGAAATTTCCAACCCAGAACCTGTTAGAAGACATGTTGATGATACAATAAAATGAAAACCAAGATTTTACATGGGAAATCTTTTTAAAAAAACCACATGTAAAAGAGTAAAATTTTCAATAATTTCGATAGTTACAGAAGGATTTAGAGAAAACAACTTTACCTCTAAACCCAACAGAACCAAATCGAACTGAATCAAACTCTAACCAGGGATTTAAATTGTGGTTGCGATCGCTTTGCGTTTATCACGATTGAAGCAATAGCTGGTGTTATTACGTGTACCGTAGTTATAAAATAACGGTTTCAGACAACACTTTTACCGCTACATAACGGCTGCTGTTTCGATAGCTTATGGTTATTTAAAGCCCGACTCTAACGTAACCAAATCAAAGTCATGCTGAACATTAGAAATTGAATCTCAAACTTGTTTGATGCAAGTGAACTAGCCTATACTTTCAGAAAACTTGGTCAAAAAGAAAAAAAAAAGGAGAAAAGGAAGATTGAATGCTGCATTGACACTTATTGCCCTCCTAAAACAAGCAATTCTCCGGTAAGAGAATGATCTAATAGCATTGTTCAACCTTATTAAAAATAGGGTATTAACCGACTACTCAATAATCAACAAAAGAAAGAAACCAGTTCTCCAGTATAATCGAAACAACCAAACCAAAATATGTCTAGTTTTGCAGTGAGACTGAGTGACCTGTGTGTCCGAATCTGAAGATGAATCTGTTGAGGAAGTTGGGGAACCAGTGGGTACAGTGTTGAATGAAATGGAGCCTGAGTAGTCGTGGTTTCTAGTAGGCAGTCCAACCCTCACATTCAGGGGCTGCAATCCCAGTGGCCAACCTTCTTCCTGCAATTAAATCAAATTAGAAAAAGGGATAAATCAATCAGAGAGAGAGAAGACAAGCACTACCTGGTGAGCCATGCCTCTGCTAAAGTACTACCCAAAGTCGGATTTTTGTATGACTTGATTGATCTTAGTAAAACTAGATTTGAAACATGAACCCTGAAAACAAAAGAAAACCCTAAAAGCTATAGATTAGTGAGAACTTGAGCAAGTTCAAGTAAATGTAAATGAACTTTGAAGAACAATATAGGTTCCATTCATGTCATGAGAGAGAGAGAGAGAGACGGTGAAAGGACAGTAAAAAAACAAGTGAAAGATGGTCAAAGAAATGGAAATAAATGAGTAAAGCATTATGTTGTTCTGCTTTGCAAAAGAAAACAGAAACAAAATCATTATGTAGTTTGAATAAAATAAATTAGAATGAGAAGATAAAGGTCCAGGAGCAGTTCAGATGCATGAAAATTAGAACTTGTATAACCTACTTGCTATTGAATATGTTGTTCATGATGCCATGCCATCTATCATAAATGACAAAATTCGTATGAGCTTTATTTGGTAATGGAGTGAGACAAAGGAGGATCCAAGGAAGTGGAAGAGAAAGGGGCCAAGTGGTTAACTTTTGCCCTGTTGGAGGGCAATAGCAATTCACATAGCCATTAAAAATAAGTCTTTTTTAGAGTAGTGTTTGTTTTTACTGTGTAAGGTCTGCAAAGCTCTTATATATGCGCCGCGCAGACCACGCGTAGACATTGGATTTGTTATTTTAACCTCTTCAAAGGGGTTTTATATTTAATTTTATATTATATTTGATTTTAATTTTAATATTAATTTTTTTAAATAAATTAAATATTATTTTTTTAATATTATATTATAGATATTTAATTTTATATCATATAAATTATTTTATATATTATTAAAATTTTATATTTATTTTAATTATTTTGATTTAAGTTTAAATATAATATTTTTTTGGATTTGTTATTTTTAAATTATATTTAAACTTTTTATACAAAATGTAAGTATTTAAACCACATTGCTTAATAAAAAATGATTTCATTGTTTGATAAATAAGATTTTAAAATATAAAATATTATAAATTATGTTTTTAAAATTTTAAAATATAATCACAATTAAATAAAAAAAATAATCATAAAATAATTTGATAAATTAAAAAATATTTTCTAAAAATATCATATATTTATAAAAATAAATTATGAATATATATTTAAAAAAATTAAAAGTATTACATAATTGCATATTTAAAAAAATCATATAATTTAATGATCATTATAAATTTTATTCTATAAAACTTATAAAACTAATAATACATGTGATTATGTGAGACTAATAATAGAATTAATAAGGTGGTGTTTGTTTTTCTAAAAAATTTATAATTGTAGTTGTATGAATTATTTAAATTTCAGTATTGTAAAACTAAAATTATTTAAATCTCAGTATTGCAAAACTCTTTTAAGTTTAAAAAATCAGTTTTTTTATATTTCAGTTTATTTTAGCAGTCTGCAGACGTTAAAAAACAAACAGTCTTCTTCTTATAGACTGTAGACTTTTGGTCCACCTATTCTGCTTCAGATGCCTATAGATGTGGTCCACAAACTGCAGACCTTTTACATCTGCAAAAATAAACACCATCTAAATTTTAATAAGTGTGTACCTTTTTTAGGTTTGGTCCACAAAAACAGTGGCGTCGGCCCATGTTTTCAACTTTTAGGACCCTGCAATATTCACGTAATAAATCGAACGGTTAAAAAAATTAACCCATTAGGTCAATCCAAATTTTATTTTGAAACTTACGGTATAAGAAAAACTTATTACGTTTACATAACGAGTTTGTCCGACCATTACGTGGACGTGACAAATTTTAATAAAATATAATTTTTATTAGAATTTATTACCTTGGGATGACAAGTTTTAATAAAAGAAATATTTTGTATTAAAAATCATCACATCAACGCGAAGAGTTTCAAGTCATTATAATAAATATCATAAATCTAAATTAATTTGGGAAATGATTTAATGAGTATTTTTTTACCCACTTGATTAGTTGGGTCAATTTTGTCGAAATCTCTACTCTATAAAAACCCAATGAACGACTGTTCCGCGTTATTTGATGTGTCGTCGGCCAAAATCAAACCAACTCTTTGATAAATGAAGTAACGTATAGTCTAATGGGATGAGACACTAAATTCTTTAAGTAAAGTCAATGATTCAAATATTGACGTTCTTGTATGAAACAAATTGAGTTTGGAGGGTTCCCCATAATGGGTCTTTACAAAGTCTGATTTGAATTAGTTGATCAATTGATCGGATATCATTGATTAATTTTAAAAAAAAAGAAGTCCCATATTAATAAATAGATTGTGTTCATATATGTTTGTTTGTTTTTAAAGATGTTAATGTTTAATTATTGTTCGTTTAAATTTTAAATATTGTTTTTATGTTGTTCATGTTATTTTGTAAGGTGTTTGTGTTCTCTCGTTTAGCGTTTGCAAACATATCGATTTATATGTTAAAAAATGTTAACTAAACAAATAAACAAAAAAAAAAAATATTTTAAACAAAACCAACAAAATAAAACTAATTCTTAAATCATGTAGGCTTTATAGTTTGAACTCAAAAGTTTACATTGCGTTCAGTTTAATTCATACTTTCAATAATATTTAAAATAAAAAAGAAAATCGGATAAACAAGTTTATAAACGAACCCAATAAATAAATTTGTTCGTGTACATAAACAAATCGAAAACATATTTATTTATATTCGTCATTTATTAAATAAACATAAAAATTATATTTATAAAAATTTATTTAACTTAAATAAATATAAATAAACTTTATACAAACAATTCACGAGCCTTTAATTGTATTTATTTACACCCTTAAGTAAATAAAAAATTAAATTAGCTGACTATTTTTCCCATATGTAATGGGATAAGGGGGAAGTAGGGTAGTAGGCTGCCTCCAACGTTAGGTTGAGAGCAACTTCCGTACTTATTTGTGATATAAATATTTTTTTATTAAATTAAAGTAATTATAAAGTAATTCTAATAGAATATTAATGTTAAAATTTAAAACCTCTAAAAATAACAATAATTTTTAATTATGAAATAATTTAGTTCGTAGGTTATGACAGATTATCTGTCAGGAATTGCATGCTGCACATTGGCAAAAGCTAGAAGTGGCACGCAGTAATACACTAACCTTGTAATCATTTTTACAAGGTTGTTTGTGGGATGATGAAGAGCATGGCTGACTATTTTTCACTTTTGTTTTCGGTTATATACTTCACGGAATGAGACTTATTATTCATTCTTAATCTTCCCCAAAGCATGTAGACCTAATTCATTTTGGTCCTTGAATTAAAAAAAAAAATCTAATGTAAATGTAGCTCTCATCGTGTTTTCTAGATTAATGTGACCCTTCAACTTATAAAAGAAATTCAATGTGACCCTTTGACTAATTTTTTCTATCGTTTACCGTTAAATTGATGATGTGGTGTTCACGATGCTGACGTAGTAGTCCACTGTAGTTGATGATGTGACAGATGAGCTAAATTATTTTTTTTTTGATTTTGTTAAAGGACTAAATCTTTTTTTTAAATTCAATGACTTATTTAATTTAAAAAAAAATAAAAAATATTTTAAATTATAAATATAAAATTATTCAAATATTTTAAAAATTAAATATAAAAAACAATAAAAATTAAATTATTAAAAAATATAAAATTTTAAAAAGTTGAATATATATCATAGGTTATACAATGATAATTTTTTATAAAGTATCAAAGAATTTAAAAATATTTTATAGATATATTATAAATGACATATACATGTTACACTGTTGATAATTAAGATTTACAAAATTTAAATTAATCGAATCTTATAATTTTTAGATTAGTCTAAATTTACTATGCATTCTAATTATTTTTCTTTAAGTCTCGATATTTTTTATGACAATGTTGATAACATGTATATATGTTATATATAATATATGTTTTTAAATTTTTTGATGATTTATTATAAGTTATTATTTTATAACATATGATATATATTAAAATTAATTTTTATAATAGTTTTAGTATTTTAATATAAATATACACTTTTTAATAATTTAATTTTTATTTTTAATTATTTTATATATTTAGTTTTTTAATATTTGAATAAGTCCTTTACTTTTTAAAAAAAATAGGCCTCGAACAAAACCTAAAAAAAACAATTTAGTCCATCTGTCATGTCATCAGCTACAGTGAACTGCCATGTCAGCACTGTGAATGTCAGCATTTTAATGGTCAATGACGGAAAATATTGGTCAAAGAGCCACATTAAGTTTATTTTCTGAGTTTAAGGACTACATTGATCCAAAATATATAATGATGACCACATTGAGTTTTTTTTTTAAAGTTCAGGAACCTCACATGCCTTTTTGCCTAAAATAAATTTAGATACACTTTAAATAATTGAGGACTAATGTGTTCTGAAAAGGAGATAACGCCTCTAAATATACAAATTTCAAACTTATGAGGGTTTGATGAAAGATATTGGATAAAATATTTTACAGTACAATAATCAAATAAGACAAAAAAAATCTGATAAAGAGAGTGGTCATGACTGATAAAAAAAAGTAGATGTACTCAAAGTTGCATTTAACTCAAACTTAAGAGCCAATTTAAAATGAAAAGGAATCAATTTAAGATGAAGAATATAATTTAAAAGATCTCTTGTATTAGTTTTGATGTCATTTCAAATACTTAATTAGAAAAGTTAAAACAATTATAATTGATCTCTCCTCATTCTTTTTTTTTAGATATCACTGATACATATAGGGTTTTTTTTTTTAATGAGAATAGCAAAAATTTATTACATACACGTAGATAAAAGAGTCATTGATATCTTTATTTAAAATGAGAAACAATTAAGTTGAAAACAATAAAAAATAATAATCGAACTTTTAAATTCCTAAATGATAATATAAAAAATTATTTAATACATTAATGATGTAAGCTTTAATTTTAATTAGGTATGGTCATGACATCCGAATCCGACGGGTTCCGACCCGACCCGACCCGATCAGATTGGGACAATTTTTTTAAAATAAATTTCGGGTCGTGTCAGGTCGGTTTTTTTAAAGGTGATATTCGGTTCGGGTCATATTCGGGTTTAGGGGAAAAAAATACCCGACCCGAGAAATATAATTTTACCTTATATATTTAAGAATAATTACAATAATACCCCTCTATATATTATTTTTTCAATTAAATCACTGT